CGGGGGGCGAGTCGCGGGCGCGGCGCGGGCCGCCGTCGGGGGCGGGGGGGCGCAGCGACAGCAGGCTCTCGGCCGAGCGGCGGCGCGGGCGGAACGGGGGCGCGTCCTCCGCGAAGGCCAGCATGCTGCCGCAGCGCCGGTCAGACCCAGAGGGCAGCACCAGGGCGGCCAGGTCCTCGCCCGAGCCCCAGCGCGGCAGGAAGGCGGGCAGCGGGACGGCGGCCCACACTTCGGCGTCGTCGTGTGAGAAGCGTCGCGTGGGCGGGACCTGTCAGGACGGGCGGGGTTAACCCGGGCTGCCCTCCTGGAAAACGGGGACCGACGCGCGGCTCAGAGAGGAAAGGCCTTGGGGAGATCACGATACTTCCCCCCCACACACACCCGCATTTTGGGGGTCTCGGGCCCTGCCCGGTGCCCTACCTGCAGGTACTGTGTCTTGTCCTCCTGCAAGGGCCGCAGCGGGTAGAACTGGGGCAGGCCCCCCTCCAGGGCAGAGAGCTCATACTTAGCCATCCTGTCCAGGGCCACAAAGTCACCTCCATAGCTGTAGTCGAGAGAGTGCTCCAGCACCAGGTCCGGGGGGATGCCACCCTCCAGGCTGGTATCTGCAGGGTGGGGCAAAAGCTTAGGGGCCACGGAAACCTGGGGGCATCGGAGAGTGAGTTCCAGGGACCCTCAGACACACTCAGACACACACACACACACACACACACACACACACACACACACACAGGGCAGAGTCCTGAGTTCAAATCCTGGCTCTGCCACCTTTTGGCTGTGGGGCTGGGGGACTCACCTGAGAGGAGAACACCCCAGGAGACACTTAGGTCCCTTAGGGGTTCAAGGCCATTTGAGCAAGGGGTCCCCTCGGTGCCATGGGGTGGTCACCTGACAGCTGTCACCCTGCTGACCTCGCCCAGGCCCCCTTCTCCCTGGGGCCTCTCCCAGGTCATCCTCACCATTGTCCGAGTCCTCGTCGTTAGCCATGAGGGCCACGCACTTCTCCCAGACGGCCTTGAGGTCGGCGCGGTAACGGTCGCAGGCCCAGAGGAACGCGGGCAGCAGGAGCGCCTGGGCCACGGAGCACCACAGCACACACAGCGCCATCCAGGGCGCCGAGGCGTCCGCCCGAAGGCTGCTGAAGCTCACCACCTGTGGGCACAGGGCTTGGCCTGGCACCTGGCAGGACCCCCCTCTCCCCTCGCCCCTCACTTCTCCCACGTGCGGGAGGAAGAGGCAGCAGACGCAGCTATGGGCTCTTGGGCCGGAAGGAGCCAGAGTGTGAGGGTAGAAGTCCGTGTCCGGCAAGAGCCGCTGGCTGCCCAGATGCACGGCCAGAACCCACCGAGTGCACAGATGGTCCTTCACATGACGCCGGGCAGCACGGGGCAGGCCTTGCCTCACGTCGGCCTCGTGACTGCCCAAGGAGAGAGGTGGGGGTGTGCTTTACCAATCCCTTTTTGGGAAGAGGAAACCGAGGTTTGGAGAACCAGGTCCCAAGCTTCCCAGTTCAGGGACTTTTGCCATCCTCACTCCTCCGTGGCCAGTGGCCTCCTCGCTCTTCCCCTGCATGGTGGTGGATGCAGGGAACTCTCCCCCCAGGAGAGTTCCTTCCCCCACCCAGAGTGACATTTAATTAGTCCCCCATCAGAGCAGAGTGGGTATGATACACTCATCACACTGGTTCCACTATGCGAGCTGTGTGACCCTCGGAAGGGTGCTGAACCTCTCTGGGGCTCAGTTTCTTCATCTATGAAATGGGCCAAGAACACCCCACAGTGTGAAGTAAAGATCTCAGACACCATACCAGGCCTGCAGTGTGGAGTGAGCTCCATAAACAGCACCCCTTTCCATGCCCTGAAGGGAAGGTGGGGGGACGCTCTTCCTCCACTGCTGTCCCCTGGTGGCTCTGCAATTCTACACACGCTCCTTCTCTCCATCAGCACAGACTGGAGATGTAGGGCCCCACTGCACACAGGAGAACCCAGCCCCTGGGGGAGGGGGTAGCGGGCCCACTGAGGGTGGGCCCACAGGCTACCTGGGACTGCATCCTGAGTTTGTCCCCTATGAGGCTGCCACCCCACTTGTCACCTTCGGGAGCTAGTGTTCTGCCATGACTCCAGGGACACAGCCCTGCCTAGCTGCTTGGACAAAGTCTCGGGCTGGTCCTTGCCCCTACACCCCTTCCTGTCCCACTCCAGGCCCTTCAGGGGGCTGGGTTGGAGCCCTGTGGGTGCGAGGCCATGGCTGTTGAATCCAGACTTTATTCTTGGGGTCAGGTGGTCATGTTACTCCACGTTCTACATCCTCTGCTTGAATGGGCCTCACTCTGGTAAGAAATGTCCCTACAGTGTGCCAGAAAGATCCTGGGGTCTGCAGTCATCTGACTTGGGCTCAAGTCCTAATACAGCTGCCTTAACTTTAGGTGGGTCATTTTACCTCTCTGAACCTCAGTTTCCAAATCTGCAAAATGGGATGATGATGATGATAATGCCTTCCCCCCCCCCCCCCGCCCCCTGCCACGGATTGGGTGGGAGGATTCAACCACCTGACGCCTGGAGCGTGCCTGACCCCAGGGCTGTCCCGGAGCCCAAGTCCCCCTGACAGGCTCCCGCCAGCTGACAGTCTCACCCACCAGCACGGGGAAGCCCATGAGGCAGTCGTAGATGATGACGATGGTGGCCACCAGGCCCGTGATCTGCAGCGAGGTTTTGGCGGGCTCAGAGCCGTCAATGGAGGAGCGGCGCTTGCCCTGGGCGTCCTCCACCACGATGGTGGGCACGGTGAAGGCGCGGCGGCCGGCCCGCGGCCCCACCTGCACAGCCAGTGTCTGGAAGAGGGAGATGGCTGTGCAGACCACACCCATGGCCACACTGCCGCCCACCAACAGCAGGAAACAGACGCCGAAGCCCAGGCCGATCTCTGCCACAATGAAGCGGCAGCCGTGGGTATAGAAGCGCTCAGTCGTGTCGTGCCAGCCGACTGCAGGCAGGGCTGACAGGATGAAGGACACCATCCAGATGCCCATGACCGTATGCACTGCCTGTTTCTTGGCGTTGCTCAGCCTGACACAGAGTAGGGACAGGAGCGAGGTGTCACTCACCGGGTCTTCCCGGAGCCCCGACCGCAGAGGATCCCCGACCACCCCGGCCCCCCCAGTACATCACAGTCGTGACAGTCGGCAAAGTGGGGCCTTGTCCCTTGCACGGGGGATCCTCGTGTGTTGTCACACGTCCCCCCACCAAGCATTTCTGTACTGGATACCATGTACCCCCAGGCACAGCTACACGTGCATGCCAGCCGGGGCCCAGAACAGCCCCTCCGGAGCCTCCCTGTCTGCCCCCAGCGCAACACAGGTGTGGCACCACAGCTGGGGGGGGGGGGTTGTCAGCACTCTGGGGCCGTTTGTGGATATAGACGCCCCTCGGGCCTCTATGCACTGCCCACAAGCCCCCCTCTATCGACGCCAGGTCCGGAAGTGCACAC